GGACAAGTATCCATGGGCAAGTTTTAGTGTAACCAGTGTGGGCAACTTGCTTCCTGAGGCTGCATATAGGTTGTTTTTGCTTTATTTTATAATTTGATTTTGCATGAATTTTGTAGATGACACAATGTCAAATGATTGCCATATACAATACTTTTTCCCTTCCCTTCCCTCCCCTCTTCTTCCGTTCTCCCTTCCCTTCCCTCTCTCCTCCCCTCCCCTTCCTTTCCCTTCCCTCCCCCTTCTTCCCTTCTCCCTTCCCCTTTCTCCCTCCCCTCTCCTCCCCTTCCTTTCCCTTCCCTTCTTCCCCCTTTTTTCTTTCTTGTTTTCTTGCCTTCCAACCACAGTTCTCACGTAGGCCAGGTCTGTTATGTAATCAAGGATGACATTGAAATTCTGATCCTCCTGTCTCTACCTCCCAAGTCCTAGGATTACAGGCCTGTGCCACCACACCCTGTGTGTATGATTCAGAGTTGCTGGCCTACATAATAAAATAAAATAAAACAAATGAAAAGAAATGAAATTAAAAATAAGTCAGCTGTGATGTTGGCTATATGTAATCACAGCATTTGGGAAGTGAAGGACAATCAGGAGTTCAAGGTCATCTTTGTCTACACAGTGAGTTAAAGCTAGTCAAACCACCCCAAATAAAATAAAAAAAATTAGTCTTAATTTGAATCTGCTTTGCATCATTTACTGATCAGAAGAACTTGTTTACCTTTCCAGTGCTCAGCTTCTTCAAGTGTAAAGGGGAGGAAGCGATTGCCTGAACAAATGAAGACAGATTTTCCCCTTACAGGAATAGAGAAGTTGATAATCAATGATAATTAAGTTACCCAACTTAAATCTAGGTAACCCAAGAAGTGCTGGGAAGTAATTTAAGAATGTAATTAGCTAGACTCAGTATCTTGACTCTAATCCTAGCAACTTGGGAGATGGAGGTAGGAGGATCAAGAATTCAAGGCTAGCTTGGGATACATGAGACCTTGCCTCAAAAAGAAATAAAAGAAGAATCCATTAAAGTTATCAAAGAATACTTAAAAATGAAAATGATTTTTCATTAGATTGTTCACTTATTTCTGAGAGTCTCACTTTCTGCAATTTCCATTAAAAACAAACAAACCTTTTAAGGTTGAGCTTGGTGGTGCGCACCTTTAGTCCCAGCACTTGGGAGGCAGAGGCAGGTGGATCTCTGAGTTCCAGGCCAGCTGGGGCTACAGGGAGACCCTGTCTCAAAATGTTCAAAAAACAAAACGAAACAAAACAAAATAAAACCACAAACACTTTTGTGTGCACCTTAGAGACCGAGGCAGAAGATGACAAGCTCAATGCCACCTTCAATCCTCCCAGCCTCAGTCTACTAGCCTCCAGGTTTTTGTTATTTTTATTTTTTTGTTATTTTGTTTTGGTTTAGTTTGATTTTTTTTTTTTTTTTTTTTTTTTTTTTTTTTGGTTTAGTTTTATTTTTTTTTTTTTTTTTTTTTGTCTTTTTGAGACAGGGTCTCCCTGTACAGCCCCAGCTGGCCTGGAACTCACAGAGATCCTTCTGCCTCTGCCTCCCAAGTGCTGGGATTAAAGGTGTGTACCACCATGCCCGGCTAGTTTGATTTTTTTTTTTAAAGAGGTGTTATACTGTAGCCTAGACTGGCTTGAAATTTTACCATTTAAAAATTCTTCTTTTCAGTATGCCAACCACAGAAAGACAAGTACCACCTTAGTTCCACTTTTAAGTGGAATATAAAAAAGTTGACTTCATGGAAATGCAGAGCAGAATGGTGATTACCAGAGGCTGGGAGAGTAGAAGGGATGAGGGTTTGAAAGGTCCATCAGTGTTACAGACAAGAGCAAGTCCTGTATGAGAAGTAGGTGGTGAGAATCTATTGCTGATGACACCACACATCTTGGTCGCAGAACATTGCAGGAACTGAGCTGGACGCTTCCTCCCTGTCAGCCATCCCTCATAGTATCAGAATGCAGGCCAGTTGGGGGAGAATTGTCATCAACAGATTTATTAAGCTGTGAAACCTGTGTACAGTAATAATGACCAAGTCCAACCATAAATGGAACCTTCTCCAAGGCTCAGAGAATATTACGGAGGAAAGGGTGAAGGAGTGTAAAAGCTGGGGGAGATAGAGAGGTGTGGGAACACTGACTTCTAGGCATGGCATGACAGTTTTACCCCCAGCAGCCATGATTACCTGCACAAAACTGGACCTATCAATATCCTGTCATGGCGTTGGGGAGGGGTTCATATGCCTGACCTCCTGAATTTATAAGCAGTTAATGGTTGATACGGGAAGGAGACATTTCTCTTTCAGTGGTGTAGCCACTGGTCTAAGGTGCCGGTGTTCCTATAAACAACCCTAATAAACTTACTGGGTGACACAAAAAAAAGATGAAAAGACATGAAAGTAGACAGGAACTAGCTGGGAAGAGGAGGGGTCAGAGCGGGCGGGGACAAGAGAGTAATGGGGGTGAAAATGATTGAAACATATTATGTACTTGTGTGAAAATGTCATACTGAAACCCATTATTATGTATAACCAATATATGCTATTAAAATATAAATTGTTTCCAGAAGGAATAAAGAAAATAAAATATTTCATCTGTGGTATGATTTAGTAGTTCCCTAAATTGTTACCATTTGGCAGTGTTTTGATTGTATTAAAATTCACCTTTAAATTTTTTTAAATTACATTTTATTTAGCACATGCTACTGTGCAAATGTAGAGGTCAGAGGACAACTTGTGGGAGTCAGGTGTTCTTCCACCATGTGGGTCTTGGGGATTAAATTCAAGTCATCAGGTTTGGTGGCAGGTACCTTTACCCACTGAACAATCTCATTTGAGACAGGGTTTCTCTATAGCCCCAGCTGGCGTGGAATTCACTACATAGACCAGGCTGGCCTCAAACTCACAGAGATCCACTTCCCTCTGCCTCCCAAATGCTGGGACTAAAAGGCCTTTGCCACCATACCCAGCCAAAATTCACCTTTAAAAAAGATAGCCAGGCATGGCTATATAGTGAGTTCCAGGACAGCTGGGGCTACAGGAAGATCCTGACTCAAAATTAAAAAGTGAGATGAGCCAGGTGTGGTGGTGCACACCTTTAGTCCCAGCACTGGGGAGACAGAGGCCAGTCTGGCGAGTTCCAGGCCAGCTGGGGCTACAGGGAGACTCTGTCTTAAACACCGAAAAAAAAAAAAAAAAAAAAAAAAAAAAAAAAAAAAAAAAAAAAAGTGAACTGATATACACAGTTTAAAATTTTCATTACCTGTGTCTATGTTCTGATCACTGTTGTTTGTTATGATTATTCCTAAAAACAATTTATAGTTGGTGCTGGAGAGATGGCTGAGTAAGAGCACTTGCTCTGTAAGCATGAGGACCTGAGTTTGAATCCCCAGCACCCAGGTAAAAAGCCCAGTGTGGCTTCTTGTGCCTGTAACCTCAGTGGCTTACACCTGTAATCCCAGCACTCAGAATGTAGGAGTAGGAGAAACACAAGTTCAAAGTTATCCTCAGCTACAATGAGTTTGAGGACAGCCTGAAACACATGAAACCCTGTCTCAAATAACAAACCAACCAGCAAGAAAGTGAGTCCAATCTGAAATAAATTTACTAAATTTATTTCCAGACAAGGTGACACTCACTAGCCCTGGCTGACCTCAAATATATGGTAATCCTCCTGCCTCAGCCTCACCAGTTCTGAGATTATGGGCATGAGCCACTATGCCTAGCTTCAAATTTTATATTTTCTTAAGTTGACTATGAAAGAAAAATGTTTTCATACGCTGTTACTGCATATTCCTTTAGAAAAACTTTACTTTTTGTTACTGTTTTCTCTCTTTTAAAAGACTATTTTTCTACTTATTTTATGTATGAGTGTTTTGTTGGGATATAAGTGTACGAGCAATGCCTGCAGAGGCCAGAAGAGGGCATTGGATCCCCTGGAACCGGACAGTTGTTAGCCGCCATGTCGGTTCCCTGAGCCATCTCTCCAGCTATCCCCACCCTTTTAAAAAAATGTTGACCAGGTTGTCCTCACAGAGATCTCCTGCCTCCTGAATGCGAGAATTAAAGGCATGCGCCACCATGCCCAAACCTTTTATTTTTATTTTTGGGACAGGGTCTCCCTGTAGTCCCAGCTGGCCTGGAACCTGCTATGTAGACCAGGCTGGCATTGAACTCACAGATTCGCCTGCTTCTGCCTCCTGAGTGCTGGGATTAAAGGCCTGCGCCATCAAGCTGGTTCCCAATTCTTATTCTAAAAAATATTTTATTATTTTTATGTATATGAGTGTATTGCTTGCATGAAAGTGCACCCTTGTCGTGCAATGCTCACGAAGGTCAGAAGAGGACATCGGATTCCCCTGGAACTGGAGTTATAGATGGTTGTTAACCACCATGTGGGTTCCCCTCTCACCACTCTCTTTTTATAAAACAGGGTCTCATTCTGTAGCTCTGGCTGGTCTGGAACTTGCTATGTGGACCAGGCGGGCCTTGGATTTATAGAGAGCTGTCTGCCTGTGCCTCCCCAGCGCCAGAATGTGCCCCGACACTCAGCTCTCTATTTTTTTTGTATTTACTTTTGCCCTTGATATTTAAAGTTTCACCTTATTTTAACTTTGTCACTAACCATTTGATACAAAAAGGTTTACTTTACTGTGTGGGAAGGTCAAAGGATAGTTAAGGGAGTTGGTTCATCTTTCCACCATATGGTTTTCCAGCTCGCACTCACCCGTCTAGTTTGGCGGCAAACGTCTTTACCAGCGGAGCCGTCTCGTCAGCCCGGATACCTTAATTCTTAAGAAATGCGGGCTGTTCTGACGAGACAAAGAGAACATGCTTAAGCACTCAACAAGGCTTAAGCGCAAACCCAAGCCTAGTTAAAGTGCTCACTGCTTTGACTGGAGGATTCCATGGAACACTGGCCTCCCACGTGTCTTCCAGGAAACTCAGAACTCTACGGATAAGGAAGAGGCGTTGGAAAATAGAGAGTCAGGCACTGGAACCCGGGACGAACCGGGGGGACCTCGGCAGGGGTGTGGGAACAGGCTGTTGGTTCCGAGGGCGGGCGGAGGAGGAACCTCACCGCGCGGACCCCCCCTCAGGGGGTCTGTCCCCGGAATCGGGTGGAGGAGGGGGCCAGATGCGAAGAGAAAAACGGGAAGACGCCAACAGAGCGACAGGTGGGCACGGGTCCAGTCCAACCCCGACGGACAGCGCGCGGGCCGCACCTGAGTCCTCCGGGCCGCCGTAGCCCCGCCCCCTCAGCGCGTGGCACCCGTGACGTTAGGCGCGCGGGCCACTCTCTTTACAGAGGTTGCTCTTGTCCAAACGGCCGGTCTCTGCTGCGCCTGCGCGGTCAGGAGGGGAAGTGAGGCGGTTTCCTCGGCGCCTTTTCCGGCAGCGGCGGCGGTAGAGCTGGGAGGAGGTGGAGGCCCGCGGGAGCCCGCGCTCGGGGCGGCGGCTAGAGGTAACCCCGCGGACCGAGCGGGAAGGGCGGGCCGCGTCGGCCTCCGCGCTTCTCGGGAGTCCCGGCCGTAACTCCCTTTCCCTCTCTGTGTCCCTGCAGGCAGCATACCGAGTTCCCGCGAGGATTCATGACCCGCCGGGCCGCCTGAGCCGCGCGTCTCTCTGGGTGACCTGAGGCTGTGGGGAGCCGGTGGTCGCGGGACGGCTGGCGGGCCGCAGGGCGCGGTGAGGAAAAGCGAAGGAGCGCGAAGCGCGGCGGCGCGGCGGCGGGGGGAAGGGCAGTTCCGGGCCGGGCCGCGCCTCAGCAGGGCGGCGGCTCTCCGGGCGCAGACTCGGGGCCCCGGCAGCGGGGACTGGAGACTTCAAGTTGTGCAGCGGGGGATGCGCGAGTGAAAGCGGGCCGGGCCCCTGCCCCTAGGAGGCAACTTGGGCGCAGGCCGCAGGGCATCCTCGCGGCCGGGCGGCTTCGTTTCGGTTGCGCGGCCGCGGCGGCGGAGCAGGCTGAGGGGACCCGGGACACCTGAATGCCCCCGGCCCCGGCTCCTCCGACGCGATGGGGAAGGTGCTGTCCAAGATCTTCGGGAACAAGGAAATGCGGATCCTCATGTTGGGCCTGGACGCAGCCGGCAAGACAACCATCCTGTACAAGTTGAAGCTGGGCCAGTCTGTGACCACCATTCCCACCGTGGGTTTCAACGTGGAGACGGTGACTTACAAAAACGTCAAGTTCAACGTGTGGGATGTGGGCGGCCAGGACAAGATCCGGCCGCTCTGGCGGCATTACTACACCGGGACCCAGGGTCTGATCTTCGTAGTGGACTGCGCCGACCGCGACCGCATCGACGAGGCCCGCCAGGAGCTGCACCGCATTATCAATGACCGGGAGATGAGGGACGCCATAATCCTCATCTTCGCCAACAAGCAGGACCTGCCTGATGCCATGAAACCCCACGAGATCCAGGAGAAACTGGGCCTGACCCGGATTAGGGACAGGAACTGGTATGTGCAGCCCTCCTGTGCCACCTCAGGGGACGGACTCTATGAGGGGCTCACATGGTTAACCTCTAACTACAAATCCTAATGAGCATTCTCCACCCATCCCCCAGAAGGAGAGAAATCAAAAACCCATTCATAGGATTATCGCCACCATCATCACCTCTTTCAGTTGCCACTTTCTCTTCTTTTGAGTTTGAACTCTGGAGTTACTGTTCTACGGTTTAGGGGGGTTGGGAGTTTTCTTTGTTTCCTTTTTTTCTTTTTTGCTTTGCGTTAGGATGCTCTGATCTGACATTCGACACGAACACAGTGCTAGATGCTCTTGGTGACTTCCAGCAAACGGGGTGGGGGTAATAGCAGCTCTTGGTGAAGTCCTTTATAATAATGGTTTGATTTTGATTTTTTTTTTTATTTCGAGAGAATCTTTTTTTCCCCCCAATGTATGCTTTTTTCCTTTTTGCCCAGTTTCCTTATCACTTGCTGTAGATGGCTTATTTTGCATTCATGCAGACTATGTTGCAAGTCTGTTTCATCTAGTAAACTGAAAATTATTGCTTAATCAAACTGCCGTTTGTCTTTTCTATTTAAGGCCTTCCCCCCCCTCCCTTACTAGCTCTAACTTAGTAATTTCAAATGTGACCTTTTATATCCAAGACCAGTATGGTGAACTTAGCCCACAGTGGCAGGATAATGAGTAAAACCAGTGTAATGTGTTCCAGTTGCACATCAGTATGTTAAACAGGTAATGTAAGAAGTTCTTTGAAATGTCAGCTGTTAAGTTCTGAAACATACATCATGCATGAGTAGGAATAAAATCCAAGTTCCCCTTAGCATAGCTCACTTAAGCTGCTTAAAAACAAGTGTAACCTGTAAAGGGTGCAATTTTTTTTTTTTTTTCACTGCAAAGTTAGCAACTTTGCTGTTTTCCCTCTTTAAAAATAGTCTCTTTCCAGAAAATGGAGCAATAATGGTGTATACCACACACAGATGAAATATTTGTAGATATTTTAAGTGGCTTTTGGGTAAAACTGGAATATATATTACCTTGTTTCAAATGTCTTAAGACCAGTAGTTTTAAAATTACTAAACGTTTACTTTGTTCACTAACAAAAAAAAATTTAACAAGTCAAATCATATGCACCTTTTACCTAGTTGGCAAAAAATACATTTCCTGTTTTCACATTACAGCAACTGATTAAGCTGAGGATATGTCATTTTTTTATAGCTGGACGAGCTACATCTCCATTAATTAAAACACTGGAAAAGATGTTTTATTATAAAAGAAGATAATTGCTTGATTGTAGGATTAACTCATGCAAATAGATTATACTGTTGGTTCAGTAGTACACTATTAAGGAAGGCAATGTGATGGATGAATGATGTGTAGACTTGAGGGATGACAGAAGGGAAGCAGGATGAAGAGAACCTACAGATGACAATGAATGTAAACTTTTTTTTTCTTCAAGGGTAAGCATTGTGCTCACTGGTGATATCCAGATCTTAAGATTAGCTGGTTAGGACCAGTAACTAGATTGAGACCACTATGATACTATTTTGAACCAAATGTTAATGTTGATTCATAATTGTGAAGCAGCATCTGGTTCTTGTGTAGCCTTAAGGATTAATTTTAGTGATCCTCAAGGAATAAAACTTAGGGAATTTCAGAAATGTAGACTGCAGAGGCAGTGTACAGGACAAGGTGGTGTGGTTTTGCTTAATGAGGGTGTCTGAAAATTAAAATCAAGCCGGATATCATGGTATAGTTGGACAGTATTAGTCCTTCATGTTTTGGCCATATTGTATAATGGAGCTTTTACCAAAGATGTAGGAGAAGCATAAGTCTATACAAGAACCAATTCTTCAATGTAGAACTCAAACGTTTTACTTCAAGTGGATTAGAAAAGGTGCTATGTTATAGGCTTCTATTGGTGCAGAGGGATTTTTGAATTTAAGATGCAACAAAAGCATTAAGTTCTGTTTCATATTAGTCTAAGAATCTAGAAGTGAGGCTAATACACATACTTAAGATCATTTTAGTTGCTTTTGAAAATTCCCAAAGCTCCACCGTAAAATGTAATTCTTAAGTGTTTTGAATGGTTACATTTTAAGGTACATAATCATGGTTATACATATAATGCTATAGTAACATCCTGAAATTAAATAAGCACAAAGGTATAAATGCCTAAACTGGAGGAAACTTGAAACCCTCATGTTCATTCTTAAATGTAGTGTTCTAACTTGTGACAGACAGATTGGTAGACAGCCATTTTTTGTGTGTCTTAAAATAACTGGGGGCATAGTTAAAATTTTATACATCCAAGTGATTGCTATTACTGAATGTCGCAGGTGAGATGGGGTTATTTTTAGTTTATTTGAAATGTCTGAAAAGGTGGGAGGGGGGAAAATACATTTGAAATTTGGAAAACCCTAAGTCTTTTGGAAAGAAATTGTAATTTTTCACTTACATTTCTTTGCATATGAAAGGTTAACAATTGATGTAGTTAAATTGAGCCATAACCATTGGTGATTACAGAGCAGGTAACTATTAGAGCCTGCAGGGAAAAAAAGTTACCTAAGCATTTAAAAAATAAGATCCTGAAGATTTTGTTTAATTGCATCAATTTCTGTATTTATGTGAATTTATAAACTTGCAGTAAGTTTTGAATGAGGTTAATCTTGTCTTAATATAAGTAAATGAGTCTGTAGACTGTGATCTCCCCAAGCTAAAAAGTACAGTACTTGGAATTGTGTTCTTTATGGTTGTAGTGTTGGTAAAGCACTAATATGCAGAAAATAAAGGAATTATACAGTGCAGTTTCTCACGTTATATTACTCGAACTAGATAAGTGGGATGTGTTGGTATGTGGGGGCCTTACTATTCTCTAGGGATGTACGGTTTAAAAAGTGACTTAAAAGAGTCACTGACTTAGAAAAACAGAGAACTTTTTTAAAAAACAATGGTTGCTTAAGGTTTGCCCTGTTTTACCATACCTTATTTTATGACAACTTAGGATATAATAGTTGAAAATAATATTCAGGGTTTTTTTTTCCTTTGTTGTTATAACTTGTAATAACAACTTGCCACCAAACAGCTGTATTTCTGCCTCTTTTTTTCTGTTTGCTTGCTTGTCTTTATTTTGAGACAGGGTCTTGCTAAGTTGCTTAGGCAGGCCTTGAACTTGCAGTCCTCCTGTCTCCTGAGTAGTTAGGGTTACAGATCTCTGCTACTTCTGCCACCTTAGGAGTCTCTTCTGCTTTTTTAAAATTATAGCCTCTACCCCCCTACTTATGAGACCAAAGGTGAGTGCCACCATGCCTGGCCAAGTTGTCTTAACTTTTAACAGTGCAATTAGATTTTTAAATTATTTTAGAGACCAAAGTTGCTTGTTTGGTAATAAAGGCAAAATTCTAGTCATATAGAAGGTGAAATTGTGAATGTATGAAAGGATTTTAAAAACATTTTTGTATTCCCTAAAACATCACTTTTTAAAAATAGTTTGATTCTGTAATGTCTTAACGTGACATCTAGACTTCATGTTAAGACTGCACACCTGTAATTCCAGCACTTGGGAAAAAGAGGAAGGAGGATCAGGAATTTGAAGTTAGTCTGGGCTACCTAAGACCCTATCTTAAAACTAACCAGTAAGCTTCATACTGGTATTTACTAGTAGTATATCTAGTACTGTGACTTACTTGAGTCTAGCATTTTGCTTGTTTAGTCAACTGGCAAATGATAGTATTCAGAAGTTTGTAATACTGAAATATTGGGAGAAGGAACCATAAAAGAAGTACCTTGCTTTGCCAAACGCTAAAGTTGCCAAACTAGTTGAACTGGCAGGGAACACTTGTGGATGAGATCAAAGAAAGCCGAAACTGGTCTGCAGAGGGACTTAAGAATTGTAATTGAAAGTTGTTTATTACATTAGCTAAAGTTCTGGTAAACCTCAAGAGAATTAGACCAAGAACCAATCTCATTTTGTGGGATAGTAAGAAGTGCTTTAATTTTTGATATTTTGCGATAGTCTCACTGAGTAGTCCAGACTGGCTTTGAACTTGCAGTCCTCCCACCTCAGGCATTCACCAACATGCCTTGCAAAAGTGCTTTAATTTTTTTTGCCGGGGGGGCGGGTTCTTTTTGAGACAGGGTCTCCCTGTAGCCCCAGCGGTCCTGGAACTCACTATGTAGACCAGGCTGTCCTTGAACTCAAAGAGATCGCCTGCCTCTGCCTCCCGAGTGCTGGGATTAAGGGCATGTGCCACCACACCCCCCTTTGTTTAAAGTGTCTTGTGTCTATTTTGAGCATATTTTTAACTTGTTGGATTATTTCACATGGAGTACACACTTCCTCTGTAGTATCTGTTGTGCAAGTGTGAGGGTAGATTTATTTATTGAGAACCTATTAGTCTGGAAAAAGAAAAAAAACAGATGCCTGCCTTCATGGAACTTACCTCAGTGGTAAGTGTAAATATGTTGGTTGATACACTATTTGCATTGTATGTTACATAGAGAGGAACAGGTAAAAACATGTTCAGAAAAGACTTCACTAGATTACACTGGAGCAAATACTTGAAAGAAGTAAATAGCATAGTAACAAAAAGATATTGGTGTGAAGCTGAACCAGGAAATACAGCAAATCTGCTTGTGGCCTGTTTTTAGAGGGGCAGTGCTGAGAATAGTTTTTATATTTTTAAAGGAGTTTTAAAGACTATAGGAAAAATGGGTTGGGGATGTAGCTCAGTGGTAGATCACTTGCCTAGCATATGCAAGGCCCTGGGTTTGATCCATGTCACTGGAAAAATGATTATGATAAAAAATATTTGACAGGGACAGTATGAGGCCTGAAAAACCATGAATGATATTTACAACCTGGTCCTTTATGGAAAATGTTGACTCCAAACAAGCATATATAAAGCAAACTATTGGTAAGGAAATGAGTTCAATAGACGTTTGGGGGAACAGTAGCTTCTACAGTTTGCCACATTTATATGACACAGGGTTTCCCTGTAGCCCCAGCTATCCTGGATCTCACTATGTAGACCAGGCTGACCGTGAACTCAGAGATCTTCCACCTGCCTCTGCCTCCTGAGTGCTGGGATTAAAGACGTGCACCACCATGCCCAGCCACATTTATATATTCAATGAGCCCTAAACTGGTTAGTGAGCTCTGGGATTGCAGGCTAACCTGGAGGCTGTTTGCTTTGTTTCTGAGACAAGGTCTCACTGTGTATCCCAGACTGACTCAGATTCATAGTAGCCCTCTTGCCTCAGCTTTGCATGTGCTTAAATGTGCGAAACCAATAGCTTCCAGTTCCAATTTTAACATTCTTTAAATTTTTGTGAATAAAATATTTGCTTTATTGGTAGCTTAGTCTTTGAACTAAAGTTAAATGTGTTTCTCTGTTAAAGTGCCCTTTCCTCCAGATAACAGATTGGAATAGGTCAGATAACATCATTCAATTGTGACTTTTATTTACTTGGTGTTACTGTAATCAATTCTGAGTCCAGTTTTTATATTCTGAAACTTTGTAAGAGGAAGAGTTTTATTGACTTGGAAACCAATATATTTGGTGGTGTTCTTGTTACCATATAAACTAGGAAAAATAATTCATTTCACATGTAAATTTTTCTTGCTTGGAGAGTTGTTCTATATTAATGATATTAATGTAATAGCATGTGGGAAACAAAATAGTTAACAAGTTGAGAGGAATTATGGAAGTTATGAAAGTTTTTGTTTTTTAAACTGAACTTCACACTGCTGGCCTTAAACTCAGTAACTTTCCTGCCTAAGCCACCTGAGTGTTGGGGTTTTGCAAAAGCCACCATACCTTGCTTAAGTTCTATGAAGGACATATGAACTCTGTGTATGTGTGTGTGTGAGAGAGAGAGAGGAGGGAGGGGGGGAGGGTTTCCCTGTAGCCCCAGCTGGCCTGGAACCCACTGTTCACATCAGTATGACCTCAGTCTCAGATCCACCTGCCTCTGCCTCCTGAGTACTAGGATTAAAGGCATGTGCCACCGCATCTGGGTCTCATTCTTAATTTTTAAAATTACATTCATGTTATTGTGTGTATGTATGTGGGTGCATGCCTGCCCTGGTGTGCATGTGGAGATCAGAGGACAACTTGTGGGAATCCAGTTGTCCCCTTCCATCATGTGAGATCCAAAGATGGAATGGAACTCCATTCCTTAGGTTTGGTGGCAGCCGTATTTACCAGCTGAGCCATCTTGCCAGCTCTCACAAACTTTTTTTTTTGGTATTTTTGAGACAGGGTCTCTCTGTAGCTTCAGCTGGCTTGGAACTGGCTATGTAGACCAGGCTGGCCTGAACTCATAGAGATCTGCCTGCCTCTGTCTCCCAAGTGTTACGATTAAAGGCATGTGCCATCACGCCTGGCTCTCTCACAAATAAACTTTAAAAAACCATTTTAATTATTTTTATTTTATGTGTATAAGTGTATTGCCTGCATGTGTGTAAGTGTACCTGTGTTGTGCAATACCCACAGAGGTCAGAAGAAGGTGTCAGATTCCCCCGGAACTGGAGTTGCTGATGGTTGTTAGCTGGCATGTGGGTGCTGGGAATAGAACCCAGGTCCTCTGCAAGAGCAGTCAGTGCTCTTAATTGCTGAGCCATCTCTCCAGCCCACAAACTTTTAAAATGTGGAAAACTTGTAGCTAATAGGCCTATGTGAAAGTAGTTATAAGCAAAAAAGTTTTCTATTCCATCTAAACAGACTGGACTGAGAAATAAGGTTGTAGGACACGAGAGGAAAACAGAACAAATTTGTTGGAGTTACAGAAACAGGACTTTGGGTCTTAAGAGCTTATTATAATATGATGAATCATTTGGGGATGTAGCTCCCTAGCAACACATTTACCTAACATGTGCAAGGTCCTGGGTTTGATTTCCCCAGAACTGAGAAAGAAAAAGCATATGAGTCAGTTCTAGGTTGCAGGTGAACCTAAACCACCTCTAACTCCACATTCAGAGGATTCAATGCCCTCTTCTGACCTCCATGGGCACCCACACATACTTGCAAATACACCAAGGTGGGAAATATTTAGTGTATAGAGAGTCACAGGCTTAGGCATGTTAAGGTAGTATGTTTGCATAGAATCTTGTATCAGGATCATTGATAGAGGTCTGCAGGCTGTGTAGAATTGATGGTATAGTTGTGAATGTAGCTGCCTTCAAGCCATTGACCTATATTTGAATCCTGGCCAATGAAATCCTTCACTGCCTGCCTCTGTGGCTTTGTTGGTAAGATCAGTTGTTAACTGAAAGGTTAGAAGAAAAAAAGTCCTTTCAGGAGCTTTGGTTGATAATTCAGTTTAGAAAATAAAGACCAAACCAAGAATAGTATAGAGAAAATCAGAAGTGAGATAATAGAATAAACCGATAAAATATATTACTTATGGAAGAATTAAGTTTTCTTTCTGTCATAATAGCATTATTGATAGAAATAAATTATATATAGCAAATTTGAAAGGACAAACTTTGATTTGTGGTAAAGAATCTTGTTTGCAGTCAGTCCTAAAAGGTAAATCTGGGGCCTTGAGAGATGGCTCAGTGGGTAAAGGCACTTGCCATAGGATGATGCAAGTCTGCTTGAGTTTGGTCCCTGGAATCTGTGTAAAGGAAGGGAGAAGTGACTGCACAAAGTTCAGTCAGCTTCTACATGTGCACTATGGCACACATGCCCCCTGATCTTATACACACACACATTATAAAAATAATGAACTAGCCGGGCATGGTGGCGCACGCCTTTAATCCCAGCACTTGGGAGGCAGAGGTAGGCAGATCTTTGTGTGTTTG